TAATATCAATTTGTTTTGCAAACTACATTATATAAAATTTTCAAATATACGGAATAAAATAAAGATGAAGTATTGAAATGGTAGTTGAACTAGTAAATTGCATTGTAATCAATTAACCAGAATATATCACTGTTATTATAACAATATTTCGTGTTATATTTTTCATATTAATTAACATTCAAGATAACCACAAATGAAACTATCGGTGACATCAAATATAAGTTCTAGTTGTTCATATTGTTTCTCTAAATGGTATTCATTCACCTGAAAAAATGAAGGAAAATATGGCATAGTTTTGCGCTGTATCAGTCATAAAACGATGAGATATTTCAAAAAGATACCACAAGGTGTTTTTTTATTATTTAATTATCTTTTTAGAATTTGTCTTCAAGTAATATACATGTTACATGTTAAATGGTCAAAACTTTGCTTCATTGAACGGTGCCTTTCCTTGTTGATCTTGTTTATCATATTTTAGAATAGCCCAATCCTAGAAAAAACGAATTGATAATTTTATAATTTAATCCTAAAAACAGTACGATTTATATATAATCGTATAATTGTAATTTGAGAATAAACTGCCGTTTCTTTTAACCTTTGTAAAGCATTGTTGAGAATTGTTTTGTTTCAAGAAACTCAACACAAACTATGAAAAGTGGGCTTTTAACCTTCAAAGAGATCCATTGATTTCCGTTTTATATACAATAAATAACAATTATTTGTAAACACATTTTTGTAATTGTTATAATGGTTGTCTCAGAATCACAGCTTTCATGAATGTGTGATTATTTTCATTTGTTTTTTATTATGATAATGGTAAGATGAGTTCACAAATCACACCTGCTAAAACATTATACTAGTCTTGGTCTGACAAAATAACACCATTTTAATGTTTTGTGCTCTTGGAAATTTTCCAAATATAATTGGGAACGGAACAATTTCTAGTGTTCATTTAAAAGCTGATACTATATGCTTATATATGTTGAATAGAAAAAGCATAGCTGTAGTAAAGATCTCTTGCAAATACACAGGTAACCTATAAAAATATGAAAATATAAATTTCAGTTATGTTAAAGTTACTTTTAGTATCATATTATTGACATATTTATATAAATTGAATATAAAACGAATTAATAAGAACATCTAAATCTCTGATATACACTTTCCCTGAGAAATAAATTAATAAAGTTTATTCGAAATCTAATATGACTTGAAAAACTTCATGTAGATCATTAACAATGTAGTTTGCTTAATGAACATCGTTTATTGAAGATTTGGCTTACATTAGTAAACTATGTTGTATTCAAAGTCAAAAGTAAAATATTGCACCTCAATATTTATGAGGAGAACTTGGTTTTAAAATGTTAAATAAGTTTAGTTATCTGAAACTTTGTACGAAAAATAAATTAATGAGAGAGAAAGCTATATTTGAAAGAAAGAGTTTATCTTTATAGGAATAATTGTTTCAAATCGGTATTAAGGTGTGTTATAGACATGTGATCATTCTTTGTATCTTCTAAATTGAGCTTAGATTAAATGATGTATGGATTATGCATACAGATATGACAAAAAGCAAATGCTGTGTCTACAAATAAAAAATATTTGGCGATAACTTTGGTCAATAATTGTATCGATAAAAATGAGTAAAATTATAATGACAACTGCAGATTCAATAAGGTGTTGAATTTCTAACTAAACAAAAGAATAACACGAGAACGTTATATGGGTACGTATACAACATCTTAATACGACTTCATATATATAGTCTATAAATAGGGATGTCTTGAAGTGACAAGATGTCGCTTATACAAATGCAGTCAAAATGACAAAGTTTTATAAATGATTGTAATTGGTAAGCAAATCCGAAAGAAAATACCAAACATTATATAAATAATAATTATAATAATAATAATAATAATAATAATAATAATAATAATAATAATAATAATAAATAATAATAATAATAATAAATACTACTAATAATAATGATAAAAAATATTATTAATAATAATAATAATAATAAAATCCATATATCATAATTATACTGATTGAACTAAAAAGCTGAAATAAGTTGTTGCGTAATGCAAATTTAAACCAATCAGAATAAGACTGAAATAGACACGAATGTCAATACACCTGCAACTGCCTATAGTTTATTTTAAGATTCAAACCATTTTTACACCTGTATAAATCTACGACTTCTCACTTTGGAATAAATCTCGCATCAACCCCCCCCCCCCCCCCCCACACACACACACACACACACATACACATACACACTCCCCTCTCCAATGTACCTATAATAGTAACTGAATATTTAAATTTACTGGAAAATATCGCTTTATAACACTGTTTGCACACACCACATGTCATGTATTTGACATTTGCATTTACTCTGTAATCTCATATGTCTATTGATTTGAGATAATAAAGTATTGTTCTGTTCTGTTCTGTTATGTTATGCAAAGGATTATTTTCCTGGAGCAATTGTAGTGATTTTTTTGTGATGAGATTATATTTGAAGGTGATATCTAAGTCAATGGAAAATCATCTCTGATCTATAATAAAGTAAATCAAATGAATAATAAAGCGGCAAAAGTTTGCGAGAAGTTGTCAATATATACGATGTATATTTAAAAAATAATTTGTTATAAAGTTATATCGAGCGATGGATAATGGTTTTCTTTATATACATGTGAAATAATATTTAAAACTTGACTGATCAAACCGAGCCTGTGACATTTCAATTATGCCGCTCTGGTCTTTTCTTTTAGGTCTCCATTCTAAATAGTGATTTTAGAAGTAGGGAAAACGTGTTTGGAGGTGTACTTAAATAAATACCATAATGTAAACTGAAAGCATTGTGAATGTTGTCATTTAAATATTGTCTTTATTTAAAGGTCAAACTTGTTAAGAAACAACTAATAGCAACAAAATCAATGTGATATTTCATTTATACTCTGCTATTTTCAAAAATAAATCCTAAATGCAAAAAAAAACAAAAACGTATACTTATGTGACAATATGATTGAAATAGATCTACGTCTGTGTTATAATTACAACGTATTATCGTGACCTTTTACATTTGATACAAGACACCTTGTCATCCGCTATAATCTCATAGACCATTATCAAAAATATGAATATACAACGCGCAAAAAGTTGAAAATAATAGGGAAACCTGTTGCATAAAGAAAATCGCTCGGACATAATGATAGTCAATATCAATAGATCCATAAAAAGATCTGATAATTACCACTGGCAAATTAATGATTACAAAATATACTTCTTTTTTCTAGAACATGGCTAGAAGTTTGTCAATAGTTTAGTAGGACAGTAATGTAGAATGGCAAAACACGAGCTATAATTGTTTAATATTGTATCACCGTATTGTCAGTCTCTTTCGTTATCAAATACATGTAGAGGAACAACACTTATTATACATACAATATACATGTTATATATACTACAACATAAACGAATCCTGTGAAGAACATTTAGCGACATATGATTATATTTTTAGCTCTTGTCCAATAATTATAGTTTTATAATTCATATAAAAGTAAGCTTATGTTGAGGTCATCCATAAGTATTGGAAATAATGCGTCTGTGGAATCTGTAACAAGTATGCTAAATATACATACGTAATAATAGCGTGCATGTGCCATGTTAATTGGGAAACCCACGATCCTCACCGCTGAACGTCCATTGTTATAACTTAGTTTTGCTAACAACAATTCTATTTGTACAACCTAAATAATTAGATAGAACGACACCTTTTAGCAAAAACATGGATGATAACATTGAAGACTAAGGTAACCTCAGTTTACAACCTGTACAAGTTTATTATGCGGATGTTTCTAAAGTCTATATCACTCTAAATACTTAATTCAGCATGAACATCGTGACAGAAACGGCAGCGTGTATCTACCACAACCGTTTTAGGACCATGTTCAATTGAACTGAACCTGAATTTTTTTCATTTTTCTGTGATTTGGCGCTTATAAATATGGTTTGACAACGCCTTAATATAAAATAGTCCTGAACTAAAATCAAACTATCTTAAACTCAAAAAATATGGGAAAATTGTTAGGTGATATTAAAACATCATAATTGTGTTCGTATTTAGTGTTTACCGATTTGTTGACAATGTAATGTTTCTTGTTTTCATATTCCTAATGGCTTGAAATAAATCTACCCTGTTTCGGCAGTACTAGTATTTTGCGTTCAATGCAAGATGGATTCTGGATTGTGCATACATCCGGTGGTGAAAAATTACAGAAATTGAAGAAATGTCGATAAGACTGAAAATTTCTGATAACTGAACGTCTTTTTCATCTGTACAAAAAGTTTTTAACCAATTTTTTACAGCAAGTATTTCTCTTATGTGTGCGTACATATTCTTATGTTGTTTTAAATTGCATACCCTTTCTTCTAAGCAGTCATTTGTTTCATGATGGGATCATGCAAGCTGCACGAGCGAACAAAACAAAAGATAAATCAACATTCAAATCTTGTGATTAAATATGTTACTGACTGGAGAAACATGAAATTGTCGAAATGGAAGCCATTAAGGTCGCCAAGTATGACACAACAAAATACGTCAAAGACTCGGTTGTTGATGTAAGCAGCCGCCCAATACCGAGCTATGGAATGTCAATAAAATACGAATAAGAAGAACAGATTATACAACATTGTAACAAATCAAGTCAATTAAATTCTATTTATAAAGCCGGATACAAATTACAATTAACAATTCACTACTTAATTTAGTGGCATGCAGTTACATATGTTTAATGTTGTATTTTCTTTTGTAGTTGTTGATTTTATTTTGACAAGCGAAAAATATTGTAATGTTATTACGTTTCAATTTACATGTATACAACATAAAGATAGATAGATAGATAGATACTTTTGACTTCTTATGTAACTAGGTAAAATAGTTAAGAAAGTCTGTATCATGTTTGAATGTCAACGAGGAAACTCGAGCCATAAATGTTGTGTATAGATAACATAAAACAAAGTTAAAATATTGCATTTCATTTATAGAACAATTGATGTTGTAGTAGCGCTCAGACAAATCTGTTTTTTCTCTATCTATCTCAGATGTTTCCTAAAGTATAACTGAAAAGACAAAACATAATAAAATAAATATTTCAGTTCAAAAACAAAACTGAACACTTAATAAAAGGCTGCAAATAAGAGAGTTCATCGAAATCGACGAAAATATACTGGTTGTTCTTTCAAAACGGTGTATGTTTAGTAAATTTTATGACTGGTGTTTGTGACTGGTGTGGTGTGACTGGTGTATGTGACTTGTGTGGCGTATCTTGTGTATGTGAATTGTATGATGTGGCTGATGTTTGTGACTGGTGTATGTGACTGATGTGGTGTGACTGGTGTGATGTGACTGGTGTGGTGTGACTGGTGTGATGTGACTGATGTGGTGTATCTAGTGTATGTGGTGGGACTGGTGTGATGTGACTGGTGTGGTGTGACTGGTGTGATGTGACTGATGTGGTGTATCTAGTGTATGTGATTGGTGTATGTGACTGGTGTATGACTGGTGTATGTGATTGGTGTTTGTGACTGGTGTATGTGACTGATGTGGTGTGATGTGACTTGTGTGGTGTGACTGGTGTGGTGTGAATTGTGAACACATGATTGTTCAAATTGTGCAACAAAATGATACCAAATTATAAACTTGATTACATATTGCTTTGTTAACAGTGTTTGTTTGTGTGTTTGTTTGTTATATTGTTGTTTTTTTCTACCGGGGCAATTACGGGGAACTGATGACTTCAAAATACATTTACAAGACTAACCGTATCTTTGTGGTTACAAATTGCTGGTATATTAAATGCTGTCGGGTCACTAATTCCCTTTGTTACATTCTGATACAAACTCATACGCATGATGTAATCTGAAAATATAATGCTTCAAACAATCCCTAAATGTGAAAAATGTTATAAAAAATTTACGAAATAAATGATAAACATTTCGAATTGCAGAAAAAATATGAAACTTATCAAATATTTCTTTATTTTTGTAAGTTTTGTAGACCCTATTCCATTTATATTTTATGATAGTACACATGCACTAATGTTATCATTTGAATTATAACAATATTTTATGCATAAATCTTATATATAATTAATTGGACAATAAAACAGCTGCTCAATAAGAAAGTTTAAAATATAGCTTTAAATGTTGATTTTGTCTATTAAATATATATCTGATATTTGTTTACAATCCGTATGGAGACGTTTTCTTAAACTGAAAAAGTAACATCTATATATATTAAATTCGAACAAAACACCATCATCGCTAAATAACACATGTGACTTATTATTGAAACACTTCAAGATGTGTCTATATAAATAGATAAATGCCACGAATATCATTTAAATGTCATCATAATTTGTATTGAAAATGGCGTAAAACTTATCTTATACATAATACTACATAGTTTCACCTTCTGAAAACTTATATAAGTGTAGGTTTTTTTCTAGATAGGCAGCCAATAAGTGTCATGTGTTAACTTTCCTTTATTAGAAAAAAAACACCACTTTTTTTTCTGGCTGGGTTTTACGTCGCACAAATACAGCTTTACTGGTTGAGGAAGACCCCAGGTGTTCCTCCGTGCATTATTTCAGGCACGAAAAGACCACCGACACGTTGTGAGCTAGCTGTGTAGCTCAAAATTTTGAAATAAGAAGAGTGTGACATTCGTGCCACTATAATAAAAACGTGTTCTTGGTATCATTATTACAGTATATAATATTTACTGAATAAAACTATACATGGATCTAAAATTTTAAATTAGCAGATCTGTTGTAAAGGTACGACATCACAAACTGTGTGTTTAATGAATTTCTGATGTTTACGCGGTTACGTGATTTTTGAAGTTATTAAGAAAATGAATACTATGCCATGTATGTGAATTAGACAGGGACATTGAAGATGAAAATCAGTTTGTGTTTTGTGACTTTGAAAACGCGCTTCTGTATTATATATATATATATATATATATATATATATATATATATATATATATATATATATATATATATTATATATATATATATATATATATATATATAGAAGTGGTGTTTTCAAAGTATAAATACATCATATTCATCAACGTTAGGAAAATGATGTGTGTTTCATCCTTTTATTATAAAATTATAGATAAACAATGTATGTGTGCAGAATATATGTTGTTATTTTTGTGTGTTTTTTTAGTTAATAACCGATTCTTTGCAATTCTAATCAAGGGGGGATCGATACGTTTTCGCTATTGAATTCTTGTTTTAAGTCAAACAGTGATGCTTCACTTTAATAAATGTCCTTCAGTACTAATGGTGTAGTTTCTTACCTGGTCCTCCTGAGATAATAGATTCGGAGAGAGGTAAACAGTCTTCTTGAGTTACAGAAATACGTTTTGAACCACCGTTCACCTTGTCGGGTACAAACCAAACAGACGCCTTGACACCAGCTGGGTACGAATGCGTTCCGAACGAAGTGGCGTCATCTTTAGAAATAAGTAGTATAATAATGAATATATAAGTAAAAAAACAAAACAAATAGTCAAATTTGTAAACGTTTATATTAAAAAAAACATTTGGTATTATGAATAAGGGGATTTAAAATTGAAAGAATGGGCGTTTCGACATGTCTGCTCAAGTACTAATTATTTTGTCAACGTCTTTTGTAAGCTGATATCATTTTTCCCAAAAGTTAACGCTTGTCCTGGCGAATATTTGCTATGGATATGTCTTGCTTTGAATGTCAAGAGTTATAAATGATTTCAATATCAAAGCTATCCAAAACCTGGGCTACCAGCAGTTTAGAGCCTAGTCAGACTGCTCGGATGTACAAGATAGTGTGGCTCCATAATAGTGGCAAATAATCTGGCTACATACCAGTAACAAAGTATACTCACTCCAGGTTCATATAGGTCAAAGATCGATTACGTACCTGGTATACAGGGCGACTCCATACTAGTACTTATGGATTCTACTGTACATGTTTTGGATACAATTGTATACTTCTTGCCCTGTAAATGCAAAAAGATAGATAATGTAATGAATGGATGAATTTATACTAAATGTGTATCTGTTTTGTATTATATGAATTTACGGCAATACTAAAACATGCAACAATTATACCTATATAATATATAAGTTACATAATTATTTACAATTCAAATGAAAATCATTATCTTGCACAAATATAAAAGATTACTGCTTAAATGTGTACCATGCAACAACATAAAGATAACTTTGTCAGAGTTGATAGATTTTCAGTATGTATTTTCTATTGTTTAGTGAAAAATTGCAGCCCGGTTTTGTACATATTTAAATGACAACTCTTGTGATTCTAGCTGTACATTATATTGTCGCTTTCTTGCATTTACTATGAAAATATGATAAAAATTGAAATTGAAACCATCATGTTGTAATTAAGTAACATTACTTCTGTATATTTGATGATAATTTTTGTTTGTGTCTTTATATGAGCTGTCCTGTTGTCTCTATCCTCCAAATAGGCAAACTGTTTCCCCGTATAGTCATAGTAAACTTCTCTGTTAACATAGGCGAGGGATGCCGAGTCCAAATCTTGATTGTACTCACCTGTATACCATACAATGACAAATAATGTAAATATCTAATTTTGTCCGAATCGTTTGCTTTTTTGTTAATTACTGATTTCTTTATATTATTTTTTATATTTACTGCAATGAAATGTACATGTTACTTGAAATTCATTATGTATGTACTATGTACTAATCAGAAATAAAAGTTATCTTCTATTCTGTTCTGTTTCGATTATAGCGCATGACAAATCAGCACGTCAAGGTAGAAATACCTGGATATTTCTTTATTGATTAATGAGACGTGTTCAATACACATTATTGGCGTTGTCAAAAAGATGGTGCAGAGTTAAGATATGTCTTTATCAAGAAAAATGTTTATTATGTTATAAAAAAATTCTTAGTAACATGATTAATTATTCATATTTACCGGTAGTTTCCACAAGATTTGCAGTCCATTTATCAGGAAAACAACACTGTCCAGATGTTGATGGTATGATTGACAATATAGAAACCACCACAAATGTCATAAATTTTGTAAAGTTATTCATGTTTGATATTTGAAGCTAGACATATATATATAACATATATAAAATGAACCTTCTCAGTTTAATCTCTCTTTCTATTTCACATCTGATATCTAATCAAAATAAGTTTACCATTTATTAAATGTATGTCAATTTTTTATCAGTCGTCAAATTCAGATGTGAACGATTTAAAGGTAAACTCGGGTATATCACCAGAAGAAAAAGTTAACTTTAAATACAAACCAGTGAGCTAAGGGATAAACGGGCAGAACTGCCTGAAAATCATTTTTGTCACTCGTTGCTACCTACTTTTCTGTTTAAACTATTTTGATAAAACATTACAATGGAAAATTAAAACCAAAAAGATTTAGTATTTGAGGTACCGTTATTGCATTTAGTAACATTAAAAGCAACCATCTTTTTATTGATAGCGTTTCATAATTAATACTTAGGTTTAACCCCAAGCCTGTTTACGGCTACAGAATCTTCAGTTTGTACATATTATTTTTAAATAATAAAAATGATGGTAGTTTTATCCAAACTGAAATATTGAAAAGTCCATTTACGATGTTAAGGGTGTAAAGTGATAGATAAATATATCATCGTATAATCAAAGTCATATAAAGGTTTGTGATCTGTCGCACACAAACGACTAAAGATAACTTTGGGTTATAATGAATGGATTTAACTCACTACAGTGTTGGAGCAGTACCTCTTGAAACTTGATAGAAATCATGATCACAAGAATGAAAAACATCCCTTTTTAAGGCGATCATTAATTCTTTTATTCATAAGCGTATGTAAATCAGTGCAAGGAGATGAATACGCCATTAAAGTGCGTTTCGGCGGGTGAAAGGCGAAATTTTACCATTTAATCATTCGATAAATATCACCACATGTACTGGAATATGGTATTTAATCCTACTCATTAAGAATTATGTTTCAGCGTTGATGGTAATAAACTGAACTTAAAAGTTATTTTGACTAATAATTATGTCATTTTTGGAACAAAATCTTGAAATACATAAATAAGATTAATGTAAACACAGAAACACACGTCTTTCACTGACTTTATTGAGAAAATTGTGTATTGATGTGAAATGCCAAATTTGAAAAGGACAGTGTTGTCAAAGAAATTTCAAATGTTTTTAATTCTAGTTTATACTACTTTCATAATTGAATGGAAGGGACGTAATTCACTTATGATTTTCATATTTGTTAAGACGAGTTATTTTTCTTTCAACCGTGTCACCTTTCACTGACATGTAAAAATATCTCAACAAAAGAACATCTGATCATTTACATTCTAGGTTATTTTTGCACAATATATTTATTGTTGATAACATTATGTTTAATGTATTACTGTATCTAAGATGTGTTCAATGCAACGTTATTTTCACTTATTTTTGTCACTGGTAGTGTCTGTATGATGATCAATGTCTTAGCAGGGGAGGGCCGATCTTAGACCCAACCCTTTGGCTATTTGTTATTTCGAAATAATTTTTGGTCTGTATATTTACATGTAAATATTAGCAATGAAATATGATTAGAAAAAAATCAAGGTCTTATCGGCGAAACTTGGTTTCTAATAAAAATGCAAAAAGGAGATCATATTATTGTAAAAGGTTCAGAAATAGGTACCCACAAAAAATGTTCATAAAAATGTACTATTGTATTCATATAGTAAGCTAGAACAGGGTCGATATCTATGGCTTAAATAAACATTATTTAATTTTAAGGTTAAAAATCCGTACGTACTACAGAAATAGTGTAAGAAGATATTTAAAAATGTGTCTAATTTGTTATTGGTCCTGTATTATATAAACAATATGTTCTGAAATGATACAAGACTGAGTTATTTAAACTTGTTTCACCACGGCTGTATACATTTATCTCTTAAGAAGATATTTTTTTGTTTTTTCACTTGCATTTGTTAGCTCTTAACATGCTTTAACCGAAAGTGATTAATAATTGCCCAGACCAGACTGCAGTCTAACTAGGATCTATTTTGTTCGTAGCTCTGTTACGCCGCATATAGCACCTGAACAATATAGTTCTCCGGACAATTTTATTCGTTGCACTGTAACGTATATTGCTCTCCCACTGTGGTCAACATCATCATCATCATCATCATTCTCATCATCGCGTTCATCAACATCAAAATCAGCAGTATCATTATACTATTATTATCACCTCTATCCTATTCATCAATATAACTCCAGCATAATCAATATTATCAAACAATATAATTATCATCAAAATTACAATATCATCAAAATCATTATTATCATCATCGAAGTCATCATCATTGTCATCATCATCAAAAATAGTACCATGTCTATCATCAGCATCACCCGATCACCATCATTATTGAAATCATCATCACGTCAGTCATCATCAAAATCACCTCAAATTATTAAAACTATGATCAGCTTCATCATCATTTAAATCGTTATCATCATCACCACCATCATCATTATCATCATCATCCAAATCGTTCTCATCATTATCCTCAATATCAAATTTATAATAATCATCATCTCATTAATCATTCTTCAAATCTTAATCACATTCAGCATCGTCAAAATCATCATCATCTCCATCGTAACTATCAAAAGCAAACTGTCATCACATTCATCATCATTAACATCTTGTATAAAACTCAATAAAGATGAGCTGAGTTAAATTTTCTTCAAAAACATGCGGTTTAACTTGTATTTGACAATATCTACCTTTCAACCAAGTGATCATGGCGTCCTGCCGTTCTGTGGTCACGATCATGTTTCCTCAAATTCGACAGCTTTTTTAAAGAAGTTTCAAGCTTTCATAAAAATCGAGCGAAAAATAGTAATATATAGCTATTCTTAGCAATTTAATGATGTTCCTTTATCATTCTTATTGCAAATTGCAAAATCTTAAGACTGTATATCAGCTAGTCTTTTGATTATGGTTGAGCTTCAATACTTTTTATTAGAAATTTAATTTAGTTTTTGTAAAGATATCATTACATCTTCACCATATATTTTACTCGGTAGTTTCAGGTTTTGAATAACATTTAATGCAATAGTTAGTTGACTATTCCATTAATAAACGCCTGATATATTTTTGTAAAGAAATCCGAACTTTGAAGGAAAATTATAAATAAACTAGATTCTATTTCATCTTTCAACTATGTCAAAATTACCTTTTTTGTTAAACATAAAGACGCAGCAATGATGCGTGACCGATACTGTAAAACTGTCTCGCATGTTCATTTTGGTTAAATCATTTTCACTATTCAATCATATCACTTCTTTAGATATTAGTTTAGAGTACATTTCATTAAAGCAACTCAAAGGAGTCAATAACCATTATGTAGATAAAATAACTTGGTATTGGAAAATAGCTGACTATTGATTGCAATAGCTTTGCGTCCTTAGTTACGCTAAAACAAACATGAATAAAATATATCTACTACATATAAATGCGCTCGTCCCGAGTCATTAATTTAAACCTTACACTTTAAGTACATACAATACGTTGTTTATTTTTTTGCTCTTTCAGTTGTTTAACTTTACATTAACAGAACACAAGTGAAAAATGACGCATGTAGATTTTGGGACCTACTTTCCATCAGGCCAACTCATTGATAAGGATGGGAGCTGTGAGCTTCAACCTGAAAATTATGAATATATAGGTAAGATGCCTTCTTTTATTATTTCTTTAATTGGAAAAATTATATTTATAAAGTTATTATGTCTAAGTTTATAGCCAATTCATTTGGTTGATTTGCCATTTGCTTGATAATAGAGCATTTTTATTATGGTACGTATTTTTGTTCGGTGAATTGGAAATGTATCTTTATATAAGTTAACAAAGATTAATTTTTTTTTTCGTTGAAACAAATTAGAAGTTATCAGTGGTTACACCAGCTAACCAATGATATTTGTTAG